TAGATTTTTTCTAAAATTTGTTTAACAAATCCAAATTGAAATTCTTTTAGTCAAACATATTATATTATTTAATTTTTATCATCATTTTGACATTAATTAACATATTATATTTTTAAAGATTTGTTTTAATTATATTATGAAATATTGTAATTGATTACTTTTTCAAAATGTCTTTTTGATCATTTTACATGTTTATAAACTAATTTTTGATAAATCTAATTTGTTTATCAGCTAGCTTATCAACCATCAGTTAGCTGATAGCTGATAGCTTAGATTAGTTTTGGAACTATAATATTCGATCGATCTAGGTCTCCTTAATTGCATCGGGGTCATTTTTGTCATTTGACTTCTTTCTATAATGCGATTATTAATATTGTGGGTTGATTAAATGTGGGTGCAGCTGTGATTCATCCTTTTGGTGAGCACTTGGCCTACTTCTTGCTGTTTTCAATACCATTGCTGACCATGACCTTAACCAAGACGGGCTCCATTGTTGCATTTGCTGGCTATGTGACCTACATTGATGTCATGAACAACATGGGTCATTGCAATTTTGAGCTAATTCCCAAAATAGCCTTCGATATTTTCCCTCCTCTCAAGTACCTCATGTACACTCCTACGTAAGTCATATTCTTCCCGATTAACGTTTTTTTAATTATCCGTGTAATTAATAATTGAAACGTACGTACAAAGCTGACAATTGTCAGCTTTGTACGTTTCAATTAACGTACGTATGTTTCAATTATTTGGTCGCATAACTCCTACTTATTTGGTCGCATAACTCATCCTAGCAATTTGTCATAACATCATTATATATAAGACGATATAGTTATTGACCCTGAAATTTAAAAGTTACGTTAAATACTTCAGGGAAAATTGCACCAAAATGGAACCAACTTTCACTTGATTCTTATTTTGGAGAACCAACTTTTAAAATCGTCATTTAGAGTTCTCTATCAAACTTTTTGTTTATTTAAGGGTCTCTATCAAACTTTTGGTTTGATTTGCCAAATTTGATTTAAACTTTAATATTGATACGGATTGATTACATATAAAAATCTTGAATGTGATATTTAATATTTATTTTTTATTGCATCAATTAATTTTTTTCTATTAAATCGATTTTTTATTGCATTAATAGAAAACAAATTTTATTGTGGTAATTTGGATTTTTTTTGAAAAAAATCTTCAATCGGATATCTGAATTTAAAAAAAAAACGAGATTTGAAATGAAAAATAGATTTTATTGCATTAATTTTGAAAAAAAAATGAATTTTAGTTATTTTTCTATAATTATTTTGCAAGTTGGTTCCCCAAAATAGGAATCATGTGCAAGTTGGTTCTCCAAAATGACGATTTTGAAAGTTGGTTCCCCAAAATAAGAATCAGGTGAAAGTTGGTTCCATTTTGATGCAATTTTCCCAATACTCTATTAGAATGCCAAATTGGTCATCCTAAAAGACCCCTCTTCTTGTAGTAGATAAAATCTCGTTTGTTTTATGTAACTCGAATTTCTTCTTTACAGGTATCATTCTCTACACCATACACAATTCAGAACCAACTATTCGTTGTTCATGCCATTCTACGACTACATTTATGGCACGCTCGACAAATCCACGGATACATTGTACGAGAGATCACTCAAACAAAAGGAGGAATCACCAAACGTGGTGCATTTAACCCATCTAACGACACCAGAATCCATCTATCATATGAGGCTCGGGTTCGCCTCCGTGGCTTCTAAACCCTACGCTTCCAAATGGTACTTGCGGTTGCTATGGCCCGTCACTATTTGGTCCATGTTGGTTACGTGGATTTATGGCAAAACGTTCGTGGTCGAAAGAAACATCTTCAAAAACCTCAAAATACAAACATGGGCCATACCCAAATACAAGATACAAGTACGTATACCTATATGTCTTAACTTCAAGTTTTTAGTTTTATATATTTTCGTATTATTCGTATCTTATCGGCCGTTTACCAAAAGCTTACCCTATAAGTGCTTAACGGTAAAATTCAACACTATTACTTACCTACCGGGTAAGATTTTAATCCACTAAAACGGCACCGTGTGCAACAATTTACCCGATAAAGCTCTTACCGTGGTAAGAATTGTAACATTCACTTACGTACCGGGTAAGACTCTTGGTCCTTATCTCACTTTTACAAGTTAAGATTTTGGTCTTTACCATATTCATTCGATAAAATAATGTGACTTGTTAATGGCTAATCAGATAAGCATTTGATAAACGGAACTTAATTATACGAATATAAAGTTAACTTATTGTTTTATTTTTTGTAGTATTTCATGGAATGGCAAAGAGAGACCATTAATGGCTTGATCGAGGAAGCAATATTAGAAGCCGACAGAAAAGGGGTCAAAGTTTTAACTCTTGGTCTGCTCAATCAGGTCCGATTTGATCGATCTTGCACATTTTCGAAAATATGATATAAATTATTTATTGGTTTTTTATCTCCAAAATCAGACCCACCCGAGTTTATAGAACGTCAAAATGTTATTTCGTAGGAATTAAATTTATTGGACCAAAATTTTTCATGTCATATCTAAAAGTGTTGAAATAAGTTTATACGTTTTTGGACATCTTAAAAAGGTTAACAGGACACTTTGTTTCCTGAAAATCTTTTTAAGACATTCAAAAACGTCATATTGGGATCGGTACACTAGTGTTTGGTCTTGTAAATTTAAGTCATCTAAAGTAGTCTATCAGGACATTTGACATTTTTGGCGTTTCTTAAACCCAGTTTTGTTGTAATGCCAATTTGTTGAAAGGTGTTCTACAGCACGTATTTGTGGCCAAATGCACATACGCATTATTTGGTGATTCTTACATTTTATAAATCGAGCAGCATAACCGCTGACGATTTTAATATCGAATTCATATGATCGCTGCTGAAATTTGAAGTGTAATTCAGAACGAAGAGTTGAATAGAAGTGGAGAGTTGTTCATAAGAAGAAACCCAAAGCTAAAAGTGAAGGTGGTGGATGGCAGCAGTTTAGCAGTTGCTGTGGTTCTCAATACAATTCCCAAAGGCACAACTCAGGTTGTTTTCAGGGGATACTTTAACAAGGTTGCTTGCTCTCTTGCCCTAGCTCTCTGCCACAAGGGTATTCAGGTAATTTCACATTTATATATATATATATATATATATATATATTCAATTTTGGAACTGAGGGATGGTAAGTTGTGACACTGATAATTTTCAATACAAAGTGTCTTTAGTGCATGTTGTACGGACATTTCTTCGTATGATGAAACTATTGAGTATCATATTTAACTGATTATTACTAAAAACGTGTATAATTACTATATATCGTATTATGGCTGCTTGAACACAACGTAGGTTGTAACGTCTCGGGAGGATGATTATCAAAGGCTTAAATCGAAGTTGGAATCGGCCAATGATCAAGAGAGGTTGGTTCTTTCGAGAACTTACTCGCAAAAGGTATAGATAGATCGTCTTTATTAATTTTATTAATTTATTTTTTAAATAAAAATATATAGTAAATAAAATCATAATTTGGTTTTGTGAAGGTATGGTTGGTGGGAGATGGATTGAGCAAAGAAGAAGAGTTAAAGGCAACAAAGGGAACCATAATCATTCCTTACTCTCACTTCCCTCCAACCAAAGTGAATAAAGGTTGCTTTTACTATTCTACCCCTGCCATGGTCACTCCCAAACATCTTGAGAATGTTGACTCTTGTGAGGTAAATACTTAAATTATATATTAATTTTGCTTATTATTTTCTTAGACTACCTTACAAATATTGTGGATTCGTCACATCTTTTACCTGAGGATGGCTCGGGACGGACCCAATTTTTTTTGGATACGATGACACCATATAAAATGGTTGCATCTTTTAAAACAAAACGGTTGCATATTTCACGAACCTAATTTTTTTACCTGACCACAGAGGAATAATACGGTGGCACGTACCACCCCAACCATCCATTTGAGTCCGTCCCTGGGTACACTTGAACATCTTCAAGTGGTTTGTTGAACCAATCATATAGATAAAAGTTTGCAGTCTATTCAAATCAAGAAACATGTCATTTAGCTACATGTAAATGGGCATCTCAAATATGTGTAACCGGAACATCAAGAAAAACCCTTATAAAGTTATAAAGACTGACCTTTGACGATTATGTCCAATACACTGTATGTTGCGTATGCACTATCCCCTGCATGAAAACAACACAATTATTGTCATCTACATTATCAATAAGTGCATTGACATGAAACAACTATTAGAAGTATATATATATATATATATATATATATTGGTTGAAGGGTATTTTGGTAATTTAACATTTGGATATTGTTATGTGGGACAGAATTGGTTGCCAAGGAGGGTGATGAGTGCATGGAGAATAGCTGGGATATTGCATGGGTTGGAAGGATGGAATGTGAATGAATCTGGGAAGGAGATGTTCAACGTTGACAAAATATGGAGAGCAAGTCTTGAACATGGATTTACTCCTCTCATCAAATCATTCAATTAAGAACCTTTAAGTATAAGTCATTTTATTTAAGTCATCCTTATCTTGGTTAAAAAGATGACGTTGTCGATAATATGTAATTCAGAACTGTTTTATGATTCGTATACGACTTTGATCCCAAAGCTGTTACTGTATTACTACTATATCTGTTGTATACAAAAATTGATATTTCATTTGGTTCAATATCCTTTCTTTTAAAAATAATAATATGGTGGGACATGACATCTATTTTGTTGTAAACATATTATCTCATGCACAGACCTACTGAAGATCATTGGGCTGCTTTCAAGCGGCTATTACGTTATCTTGAAGTTGCAGGTACAAGTACACAAGGTTTACTACAATACTACTCCACTGAGGCCAAATACTCTTTGTATTTTTTATGATGCTGATTAGGCGGGTGATAAATATGATTACATTTCTACAACTGGGTACATCGTCTACTTGGGTCGAAATCCTATATCTTGGAGTTCCCATAAACAGTGCACTCTTGCTCACTCTTCAACCGAAGCCGAGTACCGAGTTGAATCGCCGAGTACTGAGTTGAATCTGCGACTACTGCTGAGGTCCTTGTCCAAAACTTACTTTGTGAGCTATGACACTTACCCACAACTAAGCCAGTTATCTACTATGATAATATGGGAGCTACATATGTTGTTGCAAATGCAAGGTTCCACTCCAAAATGAAACATTTTGCCTTTGACTATCACTTTGTTCATGAAAAACGTTCAAAATCGAAACCTGTGTGTATTGTACATTTCAGGCAATTTGATCAACTAGTTGATGCTCTTACTAAACCGCTTCCTCGCACTCGATTCCATACACTCATTTCCAATTAGGTCTCACTCATCAATCTTGGGGGGCAAGATAGAGATGCATCAATTCTCACCAAATCAACCTCTTGACTACACTTGATCACAATATCCCTTGATTTACTATAGATCAATATCTTTCTGTTTTTAAACTAAAGGACTGAATTTGTAATAGTAAATACTTCAAGGACTAATAGTGAAACTTTTCTTTATTCATCATCAGTAACGACAATAGGAAATAAAAATATGTTATAATTTGTTGGTTTTTGATAAAATGAATTTTAATTTCTACATAAATAACTCCTAAAAATTTCATTTATCTTATAACAAAAGTCAAAATATAATTAAAAAAAATGAAAATGATATAAACAGACTGATCCATGTTGGCTTTCGCGATCATGACTCATTAGAAATTTGCTCGGGATTTTCTTCTGAATGCAAGTAAAATCTCTCGAGACGTTCGGAAGCCTTCTTCACCTACAATAGACAAAACAAAACTCTGATTCACCCGTCAAGAAGCATAATATGATTCATATTTGTATAAATTTACCTGACCATCCCAGTCTGTTCTCCACGTTATGTAACCAACTGTAATTATTTGTGTTAAGACGCCAAAAATCATACCAACCCATATACCCTGTTAAATAATACAAACTTATCATAGAGGATTCTGATCATAAACTAACTTTCTCTAGTTAAGCACATGTAGTATTTATGTACCTTAACTTTAAGAGTCGTCAAATATCCGAGCAAACCTCCCAATGGGATACCAATCACGTAAAAGCAAACAAGGTTAATAATCGATACAACACCCTGTATACCAGCTCCAATTGCTACCCCTGGTAACAAGATTTTTTGAAATCATAAACATACCTCGTAAACTTTCCCAAAATAGAAAGCAACAAGATCTTCCATGTTTAGATCTTGAAAATGTTAAGCATAAAAAAACTAAAGTTTTTATTCAAGTTTAAATGTCTTTAATATAGTGATATGATTAAATAACAACATTCCATAAATAGAAAGTAACTAGATTATGTTCACATCTGATTTTCTAGTATAAACAAAAACATCATACCGAAATCTCTTCAGAAATAGAAAGCAATAGAATATGGTTCATATCCGTATCTTAAAAACCTAAACATTGTGAATTTTAGGTTACTACATAGAATTTCCCAAAATCAGATGTATAATCTGTTCATACAAGAACATTAATCAAATAAGAGAAGAAGAAAACGGTCGAATCATATATGACTTTACACTAAAATCACATGTAAAATCAAATGCAATTCACGCGAATTTTGTCACACACCTTTGTGTTGACCGGTTAGTGTAAAATCACATATGATTTGGCATGTGATTATGTTCACATCTTGATTTTCTCTTATTTGCGAATTATTCTCGTTTGAATTTCCCCTCCCTTTCTCTTTCTCTCTCTCTCTTTATACACACACACACATATATATATATATAATATATATATACATACATATATACACATTTCATTCTCATGCATGTATAGAGGTCTACAAGCTTAATTTAATGAAAGAGACTACGTCTTTTGTCTGAAACGCTTGTTAACTTTAATGAAATATGTTCACAGACTTTCTTTATTATAAATTTCTTAGATGATTTTAAACTTTCTTGGTTTTCATCCATCCTGCGACTCTTATGATTTATATTAACTCCAATTAAATGAAAGGTGTTTTGATCCTTTTAAATGTGTCCTATAAAGTTGAGGTATTATCACATGTGATAAATTTGTTCTTTTAATTTTATTAAATTGAGGTATTCTCGTTTGAACCATCACCATATTAAGTATATTAATTATATATAATATGATGTAATCTTTTTTATTATTTTTAAATAAGAAAAATAAAAAAACATAACTAATTACAAAACAAAAAGAGACGAAAGGAAAATATAAAAAGATTGAAATATCCCTCACTCTAACAGACATTTTAAGGGGATTAGTAATTAGAGACCATTTTCAGAGTAAAACGAAAATTACAGTGATATTTTCTAGACTTATCAGTATTTAGGTGGGACTTTCAAAATTTTCTCTAAACCTTAAAGAACCAAAATTAGAGTTTACTCTAATCAAAATAATAAGAGCTATATAAGTAACCTCATACCTGAGAGAACCGAATAGATACCGTTCAAAAAAATCGTAAAAGCGAGAAGCAAAGAAAGATCCGATACTGTATCTGCAACCCTATCATCATCTGTAAACGCGTATGCAAGTTTTTCGCCGAACGCCAAACAAAGAACAAAGAAGAACACGCCAATCGCCATGGAAGTCCCCAACAACACTTTTATTGAAAACTTTATTGCTTTCACGTTTCCACTTCCTAACTCATTCGCCACCCGAACACTATATATATATGATATATATTTTCAAAATTTATAAACAGTATTAGAGCGATACAAAGATTGGTTTTGGCAACAGATGTATAACCCAAAAATTTCGAGGAGTAAATAATTTTTATTTTTATTATTATTCTTTTATTTTTAGATTATTATATATATATATATATATATATATTAAATAAAGAAAGAAACTAAAAGAATTTTGAAAATTAGACTAAAGGTGAAAAAAAAGTCAAGACATAGGTGAAAATCGTAAATTTCATTAAAGTAAACAATCCAGGGGTTGTAAATCATTTCTCATGGTGTAAGGGTAGTATCTGGTGTAAAGTGGTCCAAATCCGAGGGACCTGTTCCGTAAATAAGACAAACCCTGAAATTTGAAAATGACTTTTCAATGACTAGTTTAGAGAGCTTTGATTGGCTCAGTTGGTCAACAAATAAGCCAGAACAAAACTAGATTTAAATTTACTTTATCGTCCTCTTCATTTAGACCTAAACCACTAGGAATTTCGTCGAGTTTTGAATGATACAACCGGAGTCGAAGTTCAAGGTCAAAATCCCCTTTTTTCGGCTATTAGAGGTAAACTACTCGACTAAAAATTTATGTGTCGATCGCTTGTAACTTAACCTGGTATGAGACATGTTAGAACTAAAGTTAATTTTTTTGGTTGATTCAAAGACTTCCGCTATAAACGGTGTAAATGGTCTTAATTTAACCGGTATTTTGAAGTATTTATTTAGGAATTCGTTTTAGATTATGATGGCATTACAACAGATGTATTTGTAAAGCATATTTAAGAAAATCATTGATTCACATACCATGCAGCAACTAGGAAACCGATGCTGATCATGAACTCCCATGCATTAATGTTCAGGCTGCAAACATATCACCAGAAGCAAGCTTGAATTTCTACCAAAATGAGTCGAAAATGGTGAAATAATTAAGAACACGAGTTCGATACCAAATGGAGATGGCGGATATCTTGGTCTTGGCATCTTCCATGTATCCAGCAAGTAAAACTAGAATAGCATAGTACCATAACTCCAAGCTGTACATTAACAACAATGGTTAAATCAAAATTTGACTTTTCAAGTCAAAACAACAGTTTTCCAGCTTCGAAAATGATGTTCTTTTCTGTAACTCTTTCGGAAGCAAGTGATGATTGCATCAACATTTTTGAAATACTGCCACAATCGGAGATGATTCAAGTGTTTTCGTGAAGAATTGTGCATCGATTGCAAATTCGAATACCACTAGGTTTGACCTTAATAATTCAAAACTGTTGGTGACCCATGTTTTGTGTAAATACTTACCAGAGCATCACACCAGAAGAGATTGAGAGCTTGGCAGCAGGCATCAGATCCTTAAATGCTGAAACTTTGAATCCTTTCCATGAATGTGGACACCACCCTCCAAAAACGTAAACAAATTCGCTGATCACAAGAAACCACGAAGACAACGAGAGTGCAATCATCGCACCCGCGACCCCCGTGTTCAGTGTATACACGAAAAGCAGCGATACAGGTATATGGATCGCAAAGTGAAACGCCGAAAGCCATGCGATAATCATGTTCTTTAATTGTGCTTGTAGAAACACTTGGATAGTCAAGCTGAAGACATAGCTGTAGACGAAGGGAATGAACCATAACGATATGTATCCGCCACTATTTGCCACCGATTCTTCCTGGCCGACAAGTTTGTAGATTCGAGTACCAAAGATGAAGATCGGGAGCAAGATGGTCAAAGTAATCAACTCGATGATCCATGACCGTTGCAAGTAAATCCCCATCATATGGTTTTGTCCGGCTCCGAATGCTTGTCCACAAAGGGTATTCGTTGCACTCGACATTCCCAACTAGCAATACATTCGAATTAGAACGAAAATTAACGGCCCGTTCCCGTTAGACGGAAAGCAATTACGGGCTATACTCGTTCGTAATAAATTGGATTTGTGGATTGTATTAGTTGAGACTGAGAAAGAAACAAAAACTTGGTGATTTTTCCCTTTGAGAGCCACTAGTGCTGCTTCTCTCTCACTATTGACTGATTTATCCATAACAACTGTAAACTACTTACAAGTATTCCGTTGATAAATCGAACGATGAGCGATTGAACAAGCGCATATCCGGCAAGATCTATCCCACTTATATGTCCGATAAATGACTGAGTGACAACAAGGGTCCCGAATGCAAAAAATTTCGATATAGTGGCAGGAAATGCAACCTTCCATATCTTTTTCGACTCGATCCATATCCTTCGTTTCAAGTCGGCTTCGTTTTGTTCTTCCTCGTCCATCTTGACGATTAGATCGTAGTTAGAGTAAACGTCAATCTGTAACAATTACAAATGTAGTTCCCTATTCAACATGATTTGAGTAACTAATCAAACCCACGTCACAAACTATGTCGTTACTCAAAATATTAATTTTGTAATTAATTAAAAAAATGGGTTTATAAATTAGGATTTGTTTTATTATCCATATTTTATGTGTGGGGAAAATAAATATCTGTAGATGCTCTATTATGACACGGCTACAATGGACCGGTAAATTAGAATTTAGTGGTATTATTAAACTATTATATTTTAAAATAATAATAAATTATTTTTATGTTTTTAAATTGCAAATCATATGTAATTATATTTTTTTAAATAAAAAAAATGGGAAACCAAACACATTTATTATATACTACTAGAAGCGTACTCGCGTAATGCAGCGAGATACATCGTGTTTTTAATATTTCATTTTATTCTTTATCTCAGTCGATATTATAATATGGTTTTATGTGATTTTGAGAAAGCGATGATGTTTTTATTTTTGAATAAAATATATGTTTGACGATATCATAAAAATTTGACAAAAATATGTCGATATTAGT